TAGAAAAGAGTAAAAAGAAAGAGAATCTATATGTCTCAAAGAGATGTTTGGAATGAGAACTATGCTATTCATTGCTACAGTCCATCGGATTGGTCCCAGATCCGGATCCGAATCCGACTTGACGCGCACTACTTTAGAAAATAGTCAATCATAACGTCATTCTTACAAGTTCATCGTCAAGATCGCTTGAGAACTGATGTGGGTGCCTTCCGGAGCGATTACCAGGTGCGAATTAAAAAACTTCATTGAGCATCAAGAATACAATTCAAATTCGGATCCAAAAACTTTGGACCTGATGGACTTCATTCGTTGCACTCAAAATGTGTGCAACGGTAAGCAAGAGAAAAAAGAAAAAGATATGATATCTATCTGAGGACGATAGGGGAGGGTACGAACTATGAAAAAATCACCTCATTCAGACGTCCAACTACCAGTTAGAGAAAAGAAAGAAAAAAAATGGTGAGATTGTGAATCAATCCAGTCGGACAAACAACAAAACAACCTGTAAAAAACCATGGAAATTTTAACTAAAATCAAATTGTTAAAAACGCACTTTTTTACTCGTGTAGAGATCATGTCTCTAATGAGAATATTTGCCGATGAAAAGAGTGCATTTTAGGGAAAAAAAGTTAATTATCTATTCATCTGTTACGAGAATCACATTACAAAGGAAATTAATTTCCATGTCAGATTCAATCCTTATCGCTATTGTAGGTAGATGAAAGCATGATATAGGCAATGTAGCTGTGTTGACGAAAGGTGTTATTTTATGTTACTTATCTATTGAATCTCGATATCCATCTGTTGTGCATAATAGAGAAAATATCAAGAACAGAGGGTGTGGATGTGGGTGTGGGTGTGGATGTGAATGTGGGTGTGGATGTGGGTGTGGGTGTGGGTGTGGGTGTGGATGTGGGTGTGGGTGTGGGTGTGTGAGGTATGTGCGGGGGAGGGGGTGGAGGTGTAAGCGTGTATGAGAAGAAAATACACACGCATTGTGCCAAGAGATACACCGATGTGACATGCTATCACCGGTATGTAACATCATCCTTGGATTCTTTCACTCTTACTTCATGTCATCCTTGTATGATGTCAACCTTGTATCTTTACGTAATACTGTTCATAGTGTTCAATACTCTTTCAATACTTTTGTAACTACTGTGCTGTTCATTGTATATATGCTCACTGTTCTCTTTTCGCTCCGAGAGATTATTGCATCAAACAGATGGAAGGATAAATCGTTGAGAAGGAGAAAGAAGAGAAGAGAACAATCGAGAATATTCTCAATGGATATTGCGCAGTGTGAAGGATACAACTCACTCGAGGTTACACATCTTTCTTGTACCCCTGGAAAGCAAAAGTTAGCCACTATGTTTGACCTCCTTTTGCACTCGAAAAACGA